AATACTACAAAAAACTTTTTCTGTATTTTATAGGCGTGTAATTTGCTTTAAATATCTATGTAATATCTATTTAAGTTTGATATAGTGTAAAAATATTATCAAAACCTGTTTCTTACCCCTTTTCTGTAGTAATATAACTCATCCATCTTTAAGCTTTGCTAAATTTCGCTTCTAATATCCCAATTAACGTATCGAACATTTAACCAGAAACCCATCGACGTGTTGAAATGCCTTAACTTCTCTGACTTTTTCCATCGCTTTTTTAACCTTGGTTTCTTTACCTATATCATATCGTAGTCTTGGTAATCCAGACGGCAAGCCACGAAACTCGCCAAACGGTCGAATTGAGCATATTTTCATGAATGAACGAGTGAGTGAGTGAATGAAATTTCGATTTCCACAACTCCTACACCACAATAGCGATGTGGGGGCATTTAGCGGGGGCAACTTGGCTGGTGAGCCAACCTACTCGCGCATGCAAAACACGATTTACTATTAAGGCAAAATGCGCAGACGGAGAAAAAACAAAATCAGGGAATTAGGGGGATCGCAGGGGGAACCAGAAGCCAGACAAACAAACAACTTTTGACGTCGCATAGAAGAAATTGAATGGAGTGCAGTGGAGTTGAATGGAGGAGTTCCATGGTCCCAAGTCCGAGGCCCGGAGGAGTTTAGAGTTTTTAGACCCGGCTCCATTCATAAATGGCTATGGCAAGCGGGTTTTGGTTTTGGCAACGTGCTCTTCGTCTGATGACTCATCTCCAGTGGATAACTGGCTATGGGGCACGTGATGCCATCGTCGAGGTGTGTCAATTAGCAGTTAGTTGTTGCAGAGTTGAAGAGGCGGTCACAGAAGAAGGAGGTAAAGGGTTCGGGTTCGGGTTTAAGATTGGGTGCTGGCTGAGAATGAGTATGAGGATGAGGAGTAGGTAATCGCTGGTGGCCCAAGTCCAGGGCGTGACTCATCTCGTCATGGGAGCTGTGCAATGTTTTTGTGGCGAAAGGGGTTTTCAAAGACTGGTTCAAGTTGGTAACTTGCAATGTTTGCTAAACAAATTAGAGAAATTCTTGTCATGCAGTCACCAAAAGCCATAATTAATCAAAACCCTTTTTTTTAAAGTTCATGCAGCTTAAAAATCTCTGATTAATAGAATAGGATGCATTCCAAGTTTTGAAAGCATAAAGAAATTAAAAAGTTCTTTAAAATTGAATACAATAATAACGGAAGTAAAATTCTGGTTCTATTAAAAATGTATTCCAATAAATTAAAAATAAATAAGAAGTGTGATGAAAGTAATCAAAAAAAAAATTTCTGTTATAAAGATTTATAACAAACTATGACCTCGAGTTTTTCATTTCGATTTATATTAATAACTGAAGTAATAATAAATTAAGAATTTGAAATCTTTTTCTGAGTCCTCCATCTCTAGAAAATAAAAACAGATAATTATAAAATAATAATTAAGAAAAGATTACCTTTGAAAAGTTTAAGAAAGTTTATTTATAAGCTAGTTATATATATATGTTAAAATATCACTAGATTTATTTTTTAAAATTTTTTAATATATTGATATAATAAATGAAATACTGAATCAAAGAAAAACTAGTTCAGAGTGGAACTTGATCGTCCATCTCTGGAGACCAACGCCTTTGCCACTTTATGAATGAAGCGATTGCCAACTGGTTTTTCAGCGCCGCTTCCTGCGCCCTAGACTTCATCTGGAAACGACGAGACTTGAAGCCAGACGGCGACTGGAAGTGTGCACCCACATGATCCATGGCTCGTAGTTGTTAGTTGTGCGGGTGTCCACATCCACGTCCACTTTAATACTGGGTACTCGTATCCACATCCGCTGGCTTCTCTACTAAATGCGGAAGAGGGCGGCATTCATTCGTATGCAGCACCTCCCCATCCCAAGTTCCTGCCCCCCTCGACCACATCCAAACTCACGTGCTGGGCGGGATTTGGTTGGGGGTTTTGAATCCGAGTTCTGGGTTTGGCATTGTCGGCTCTCTTTGTGGCGCCCACAGCCGCGTGCCGCTTTGATTAATTATGCGGTGCAATGTGGCCACCATCTACTCCTCCTCCTCCTCCTCCTTCTCCTCTTTTTTCCCTTTGAATGGTTAACTGTCATTGTTCGGGGCATATTTGTTTGGTTTATTCGTCTGTAACTGGCTGTAACACACAACAATTGACCCAATTATGATGACATCAGGAATATCTGGACACGACGAGATGATTTTTCATGTCCATTGGACAGCAACACCGTGGTATTATCTTTGGTGGGGGATCATTGTGATAAACCTGGAAATGGTTTATAAAAAATTATCTGCATTGTTAAAGAGGTCATGATATTAATAAGGTCTATTGTAAGCTTATATACTACATAGAATTTGCTCTATTTATTACTTGCTTGTCTTTTTTATTTAAATTATTGTCAAACGTGTTGTAAATTACAACATTTTGAGCATTGCATTGCAAATTGTTTTAAACCCAAACTACATTGTAGTTAAACATAAATGGAATGTTTTAACTAAGATTGGTTTTACTCACTTAATGTTGCGCCGCCCAAGTAAGATTTCCCAGAAAATTCTTTATAAGAAGCTTCTGGCAGTACTTTCCATTTACCCTGCCTGGCTAAACTTTATCCTTGGCTTGATTTCTTGGCTACTTTTCCTACTTGTTTTTATTTTGTTACCATTTTCCCACTGCAAATTCCCTGAAAAGTAGCAACAAAGTGGCGAAAACAGACGCCAGAAGCGAGGTACTGCGCAATTTTACTGTCAATTAGGCGGGCCACACGGCCAAAAGTCGAGTTTATTGTTAAGCCACCTTAAAAATTCGAGGCCGAGAAGGAGGTTGAAGTGAACACAAGGCGTAAATCTTTTAGGGCAAAATAACACTGCAAAAAAAAAAATGTATACAAATTGTGACTGCAACTTTCTTAAAAAGTATTACATTTCAAAAAAAAAAAAAAAATTGTTGATAAATTGTAGATTAGAAACGCGAAAACTTATCAGCAACTTCAAAAAATGTTTTCAATATTTTTACTATAGTGTTGCTTACCAATTAGTTAAATTTTAATAAAAAACTGATTTTCAATTTAAGCTTTAAGAGGATATGTTTTCATAGATCAATTTTTCCAAAACCATTTAATTAATACAGTTGATGAAACACAATAAGTTTTCAACTACTTTATCAAAGAATAAAATTTATAAATTGTTTTTTTTTTAAATAAAGGGTTTTTTTTAATCTGATTTTTAATTAAAGTTTAAATATTCCTATTTTGAGTTCTGTTTATCAATTTTATTTCAGAAATTTAACAGATCCCTATGAAGAACCGCGACACCGGGCAGGTGTGTTCGTCAGGGGATTTCGGTGCCAAAAGAGTAGAGATTCAGAAGTCCAAATGGCGGGTGAATTTGAGGAGCCAGCACGAGCGCCACTGCAGCTGCCGCTGAATGGACAGCGGCTAATTCCCCTGCTAAAATGGCAAAATGGCAAAACGGCAACAATGAACAAGGCACAGGGTGAAGGTCAGATTTCGGGCAATCAAACAATGGACAACAATGCCCGGCCAAAAGGAATCGTTTTGAATATGAAATGAGATTGGCACACAACGGGCCGAGAAATGGTAGTCGACTTGACTGACCGTAGGTGGACTCCAATTACCCTACGGCAGCTGGAACCGCCTCGCCCCGGGTTTGGAAATCGGATTCGCAATCTCCTCGATCTCGATTGATCTTTCAATCAATGGCAGCTGTCTTGGTCGTCTCCTTTTTGGAGTGCGCCAATTTTCAATCTCGAACGTCAATATTTGGCTGGACTCCAGGAAGATTTGAAATTCCAGGAATGCCCCGCTTTTTAGGTAAGCCACATTGTAGTCGACTAAAAAGTGCCCTATAGTTATTATATACAAGTTTGAATGATCTAGTTATGAAGAAAGATGTTAAATTTCGGCAAGTAATGTCTCGCATTAGCTAAATTTATTTTGTAACATTTTACAAACTGTAATCATAAAACTTTTTTATTTTATTTCCGTAATGTTCTTAAGAAAATGGTCTTTTAAGCAAAAATATAATAAATAAATAAATATAATTAAAAAATAAAGAAGTTTATAATGAAATTTTTGTATGAAAAGTTAAAAAACTATTTCAGAACCCGAATATTTTTTATTTCCAAAATTATGGTTCACAATATTATTTACTTTTTTTTACCTCACAAACCCTAAATTAATTTTAATTACTCCATTTTTTGTATAGGCAACAAGATCTCGTTTATTTCATCTAATCACTTTCCTTAAAGACTCAATACCGCCCTATATTTCCCTTTTTAAACTACTGAGCATCAAGCGGGTTATCGCCAGCTTTTTATCGTGCCAGCGCCCGAAAGGAGCCGCGTCATCAGCGCAGATTGAAATAATTCGGAGTTGCCAACTTGCCAAGTCATCTCGAATTGGTCAGCGGTCGAGGCCTCTGATCTCTGGCCATATTCCATATTCCTGGGGAGGAACGGAGGGAAGCGGAGATCGCGTGCGATAGGCTACGTCAATATTTGTGTTTATTTCTGGCTCGGATCAGTTGGGAACGGGAATGGGAATGGGCATGGGCATGATTATGAGGTCCTTGTTAGTCCGCTTGAATTGGCGGCGCTTTCGCTTTGAGGTCGGACAAGTGGCTGCCCAATTTGCGCTTTGTTTGTGTATCATTTTGTGGGCCTGGCTAATTGTTTTGTACCCCTAAAGATCGGCTACCTGACCCGATCTCAATCCGGCGATGGGAATCTCGGCGGTTTTATTTGCCCTGGATTTCATTATTTTGCGGTAAATGTGGGAAAACGGCAAGCAGGTTAGAAATTTAACAAGTTTTTTTTTTGGATTTTATGTACTTTTTCGAGTTTACTGGGAAAATTGTACCGGTAAATGTAATTTATTTTTATCCTATACAAGCAACTGTGTGTAATACACGATAGCAAGTTACAGCTCCAAATTAAAGTAGACTTTTTGAGGGTACAAAATAATTTATGACTAGTTGAAAAAAAATTATAGCAGTTTACACAAAAATTTACAGCATAGACAACAAGTATAAACTATACGCCAATTTTCTTCAACTCGGAAGCTCCTTCTGTAATTAAAAGGTAAAGATTAAAGTAAACACCAAATTATTAAATCTTAACATACCTTCTACAAAGTGATTTAAAATTTCGGTAAAGAAAGTATCATATATTTTCTTCACGGTTAAGTATAAAAATCGAAGGATTCCTTGGGAGAATTCCCTATTAGTGATTCTTAAACTAGTTAAAAGATCAATAAATTTCAATTGCAACGAACTCGCAGCCAAAACAACTCACCTTTGTTATTGACTATTTGATACTTCCCGTTTTGCTTGCAGACTAGTCCCTTCCCGATTAAATTATCTATGGCTTCATCCACACTATCGACGATTTTTAGGACTTTCTGATCGGTAGCTACGCTGACCATCTTCAGGATCGTCATCTTGGAAACTGACGCCCCCAGAACATCCATGCCCTCCCACACAACGCGCTCCATGTCACCGTCTTCCTTTTCCCTGTAGTCTGAGCTCTTTCCCGAAGACATTTTACGCTTGAAATTTTACACTTAAAATGTTAAAATTTTAAACTTTCGTTTTTTTTTCGGAGTATAAAAATATTTAAATTTATAGAACGGATTGTATGTAACACACGAAGTTATGTCGAATAATGAACTGATACAGTATGGGATAAAATATTGAAGTTTCATTTGGATTTTCAAAGCCTACTTGGAATGCAGAAAGTGAAATGAATGAATAGTTCTTACAATAGCTTTTTTTTTTACCAAATTTCAAACTATATTATTTAAAGGTATTTTATGAAGCCTTGCAACCCTGAAACTAATCTCTTTCTATTCGATTATTGGTTCTTTGGTTGACGGTTCATTTTCTGTCACGCGGTTTTCGCAAGTTGGCAGTACCTTCATGCTGTCTTTTTCTGCTCGGCAATTTTTCCATCCCGTTGCACCGTTGCATTTGTAAAGTTTTTTTAATTAATTCAAACCTTTAAGTGGTCAGAAATGAGTAATTTAAGAGAAATGGATTTAAGTGACTCGAAAGTTGCTGAGCAACAGACTAGGTAAGTGGGCCAAAAAACTATATAAAATGTAAAGTCATTGATATAACCTAAATATTGTAAGCTACCAAAATGACGAGTCAAGTGGCGAAAACGCAGAGCCTGCTCCGCCAAATACATTGCTACAATGTGTTCTGGATAATAATCAGCAACACGAGGTGGGTATGCTGATATGGTAAAGTGATGATTTATTTATAATCTCAAAACAAATATTTCCTATTTCAGAAATTGACCAGTCGCTGGGTCAACTTTTATATGGAAAGTCCTACAGCCGCATTGCTTGAGCTAATGCAGTTTGTGGTGGAGGCCAGTGGTAGTCACTACCAGATCCCCAAGGACTCTCCCATGCCATTCTCCTACAAGGACATATTGATGGCCAGTACAGCCAAGTTCCAAAGTGTAGGTGGCAAAATCTTTCTTCAAGAAGGGGTTTTTAAATTATAATTATCGACATTTCTTCATCTTAGGTCAGCATGTATTATCCACTGATTATGAAGAAGGCCAAATCGTTTGCGAGCAATGTGATCGGCTTTATAGAGGCTTTACTAAAGGCACTGGGTGCCACGCCCAGTATTCTCGACAACATGTTTTTGGGCGAATTTACGGGCTTTTTGATAGCCTGTTCGGAGTGCACAATTCGCCCCTTTCGCCATACAGGCACAATGATTGGTAAGTTACTAAACCAAGTTGAATTCATGTATACCAATTCAAAACTAAAACTAATGAAAACAATTTTCTTAATAAACTATATACCAAAAATCTTTTCCAAAATAAATCGGCTGTAGTTTGTATAAATAAACGTTTTCATTGCAATAGATTGCTGCAGCGCACAATTATTAAAAAAAAATATATATATTAGCTTAACTATATTATAATTATATTATATTATCATGCTTATTTCCTTTTAGGTCTAAAAATGATGACAATTTTAAGCGATCTAAACTCCGTGGAAGGTGGTTCCCTGGGAACACTGTGGATGCGGATGTTCAACAGCCTGTTTTTGGATCGCCGCCAGGATGTGGTGAACGACATAAGGCTGCTTTGTCTCCACGAACTTGGCGAGTGGTTCAGCAGGTATCCAAATTGTCACCTCCATCCGCACCGCTTGCGATTTTTCTTCGAAGCCCTGCAGGATTGCTCGGTGGAAGTAAAACAGTGCTGCCTGGAGAATATCTTACGACTTTCCCTCTACGAAGACCTTCGTCCCATGTGCTTGGAATTGGGGGGAGAATTCTCGGAGCAATTACGCACCATTGCCGTGGATAGGGAGAATGAAATGGGAGTGCAATCCTTGCGCATCTTGACCGATTGCTATGGATCCTCTCCAGAAATTCTCAACGACACCGATTTTCGTATGCTAGAGCAACTAATGCTGGCCTCAAATCGTGGATTAGCTCAGGCAGCAGCGAAGTTGTTCATTATGCGAAGAATGGAAACCGAAGGGGATTGCTTTTCACGAAAGATTCGTCCTCTGCTGGAGTTTTTCGTTGATGAGAGTCAACATGAACATGCTGCCTATCTGGTGGATTCTTTGCTCGAAGATTGTGAAACGGTTCTAAACTGGGAGCCCATGATAGAGATGCTAATGCAGGATCAGGACCCAAACCTTACCGAAGTCGAAAGCTCTGCCTTAATTGAAATCCTCTCTAAAGGAGTGAAGCAGGCGATCACAGGGGAGATTCCGCCAGGAAGATATACCGAAGATCTAAAGAGGGAACCCATGCCAGGAGCTCAGGAGAAGGCCACCAGGCTCTTGGCACCTGTTTTTCACGATCTCCTTGACAAATATGACAAACGTTCTGGAGATTTGGAAAATCTTTTGGAACTGCCGCAGCATTTTAGTCTAGAGTACTACCAGCAGGATGATAAGCTTGGGGAACTTCACAAATTAATGGATCAGATCGAAACCATTATATTCGTTCACATCGAGAACCGCGTGCTTCGTACGGCAGCTCACACGCTGGAGGTTCTCCATGAAATTCCCTCCACCAGGGCGCATATAAAGCAGTTGCTGAACAATGCTGTGACCAATTACAGGATTGCACTGCGCTCTTGGCAGGCTTCGTATGGCATGCCCAACTTCAGCCCCTCTTCCACATCCTCCTTTGCATCCTCGAGCTCCAAAAAAAGTCCACAGAGTCGGGCGCGCCGTCTGCTGAATACCCTACGTTTGGTTTCAGCCCTCTACGGACGTTTCAATCTCAGTGTCTGGAAGTTGACGGAGTCCGTGCTGTCCAGTCTGAAGCGAGTGATCAGGGAGCAGGAACGACCGGGAAAAGATGCCCTGCCCACCGAGGCAGTGGGTCTCTATCTAGAGGTTGCCTACTTCAGCTTAAACTGGGACTTGAAGAGTTTCAGGGTGGAGGCTGCAGACAATCAGAGAATGGAGGAGACGGCTGCATCGCTTAAGAAGCACTTGGAAGACTTTCTATTTGTTACCTTCGAGCAGGTGGTTAGTGAGTGCAATCTCCCAGTCGCATATAATGTGAGTAATACGAAATTTTCCTATAAAATGTACTAATACATCTGTTAATTCTAGTCCTTTTCTTTCATATGCGATCTGTTTGTGCTATACGGAGATCAATTGCGAGAAAGTACAAACTTCTGGGTACGTTCCCTTATGTACCAGCCGTCTCTAAATGAAATAGAGCTGCTGGAAATGTCTGTCCTGCGAAATATTTTAAATTGCAGTCCTTTGGAAATTATGAAAGAAAATAACTTTGATCAACTGCAAGATATGCGACGCCTAGTGGCCAGCTACTGCAAACTGGTAGTTTTCAATGTATTTCCCGTCATGAGAGCCTCTAAGGTCTTTCAGTATTACGAAAAGGTTGGTCAATACAACACAAGATATATTTGATTTTATAGACTATATTTTATTTTATTTAATTTATACAGTACAATGCACCATTTGGCGATATAATGAGAAGCTCCATGGAACTAGCCCTGAACAATAATTCTGTTAATTTTGGTATGACAGTACTTCACACCTGTTTGCTGCCATACGAGAAGATTCTGAAGGATAATAATGGAGAAGTATTGAGGTCCTTTCGCTCGACAGAGTTCTCCGAACTTATCAGCCTGGCCAAACGATTGGCGGAAACATTCAATTCCAATCTCGTGGAGAATCGCCATGGTGTGATAGCTCTTCACACAGCCGGCATTATGTATGTTATGGAATCGGTTCACGATGAACCCACCACGGATGCCCCAAAAAATCTACTCTTTTTGCGTGTTATCCAGGAGTTTGCGCCACAGGTCCTGGCACAGGACCGTGTTACACTGCTGCAAATGCTACAGCCCATTGAGCAGCCGACATTGCCTTCTTGTCGCAGCGAGGAGTGGCAGCCATTGGAAGGATATCTTTCCGCTTTGAATCAGTCTTCAAAGCCAACACGTCGTCGGGATTCTTCGGTTTTAGCTTAAAGAAACAATTACCCGAATTGTTGCCAATAACAAAAACATATGTTTATTAATGAACCTAAAAGATAATCTAATTAATAATTAGATGGATTTTTAAGGTTCTCTTCATCATGTGAACTTTATAGCATTTATATAATTTCTGAGAATGATTTATTGTTGTTTGTTATAATCTGAGCTCGAAAAGCTTACTGACTACTTAAAACCATTTTTTTAACTGATTACGTAATTGCTAACCCTTAAGGTTAAAGGGTTTTTTTTTATTTAGGAGTAACCCTTTAAACGTGAGTTATATTGCTTGGCTCAAATCATTTGTCGTTTTCGCAACTACGTGTGCATCCTTGTTGCCTTTTTGTGTGTGCCATTTGAGTGCCATTGGAAAACCCATCTCAGTTTCATCGACAGCATTTGGTGGAGCTTTTCCTGCTGCAATGTGCCACCTTTCCTTCCTTTAAATCGCCACAAAAGGTTGCGTAATAACGCCCAGTATCTTGTATCTGCAGGCTGCACTCAGTCGTCAGCTGCTGTGGTATCGAATTTCCAAGGTCCTGCTCTGCAATTTTCATTTTCAGTGCTCGCCTCGCTGACAAATTGACTCGATACTTTGTGGGTTCTGTTGAGAAGTAGTATGTTGTAGTAGTAGTAGGAGGGGGTGCCCATGTCAAAGGCTGCACGAGCTAACACGGCCTTTGACACCACGAAATGGAGGGTGGAGGGCAGGGAATCGAATCCGAGAGCCCTCAAGGTGGGCGCTAAAATTTGGAAACGAAACTAAACGAAATGAAATTCAAGTGGATATTGGGTCACTTCTGGTTTTGGTTTCCAAGTGCTGTCCATTTCCTTGGCACATGCCAAGTGGTCGGCACACGTATCCGATTACGGGGCAGAGAAACCTACAAAACTCCCATACAACCAACTACAGTACTTTTGCAGATTCCACTGGGCACACAGCTGCGGGAGTTGGAGATGCTAACCTAAACATTCCTGGCCATCAAGCACACGGCGGATCGATCGATCGTTGGGGAGCAACATCTGGTCATACTGATCTTAATTGGAACATCTCCTCGAAGGAGGCACACTTAGGTTCTTTCTTCCTACGCACTGGGAGAAAATATTCGAAAACAAGCAAGGAGACAAACTTCGGCAAGCCAATCAAAAATAAAACATGCCTTCTAAAATCTTATTACACTCTGCAAACTTTTGACATAAATATATAATATCTTTTGCTCTGGGGCTCATGAAGAAGCTGTGGAATACTATTTGATTATTTAATATTTTAAATAAAAACTATATTTGAAATAAGTTCCCCACCTACAAAATTGTTAAACAAAATTTGTAGTTAAAAAAATACTGCATAAAACACAATTTTACACAAAAAATGTACGTTGAAAGTTACCCATTTTTAAAGAAATCAGTGGTTTGAAAATTAATCTGAATACGTAAAAAATACATCTTTAAAGTTAAAAAAATTAAGATTCTGATGAAACATCAATAACAATTCTCTGATTAAATATACTTGTTAAATTATATACTATTTATGTTTATTTTAAAGGTAGAACTTTAAGTACTAATCATCTTTCTACTCTCTTTTTGTTTCTTTTTTCTTTCAGTGTACCTGACAGGTAGCAACGAACTGAGCCAGCAACCTGGCCCATCAATTTCGCGTAACGGGCTGCGAGAACCGCTAGGCCATGGCAATTGCATTTCACGGTCTTTCCCGATCTCCCTCGATCTCAGATCGAGCTCCTCGAACGGAACCTGATCACAGATGTCCTGACGGCCCAGATCCGATCCGAACCGATCTGATCGCCCTCGGTTGCGGTTTAACGAGATGTGCGACCGCCCCCTCGACACACGCCTCCACGCCACAAAAACCCCCGAAAGATCTCCCCTAGCACGATTTTTTGGCCCTGATAAACCACGTTGCGCTCCTCCTCGAGCGAAAGTGTAACACAATTTTCAGACACGTGCATCTGTCGTTCGTTTTGAGTTTCGGATCTTGAGGAACAGTTGTGGCCCCCGAAAAGAGTACAAAACTGTTTGCAAAAAAAAAATAAATAAATATAAAAGAGTTTTAAAGGGGCGACACGTGGCACTTGATTCGTATCACATTTCTGAACTATTTCGGGAGTTTACATTTCGGCAGGGAAGGGTTTCTCCTTAGTTTTCATTTCGTTAACTCCTCTTGCCAACTGTCAACCCATTTGGCTGATATTTATGGCCAGTTGCCTTTGGCTATCGAAATTCGGGAGAGGGGTCGTCGTCGTCGCTGGCTGTTGCAACTGTTATTAACATGAATTTATTGCTTGTTTCGACTTTTTTTCGGCTGCAAATTTAAATTTTAGCAGACAAAGTGTGACCACACCGAAGTTTTATCGCTATTAGGGCTTAAAAGGGTTGAGAGCATGGCCAGTACACAAAATGTATGACCTGAAAGAAAGCAGAATTTTAGCCTTCTACATTTTTATATACAAAAATGTATTCTGTTTGGGTCTTTATAAAATTAGTTTAAAAAAATATATAATAGTCATCAGAAATTGACTTAGATTAATTTATTTTTAACGTTTCAAACGATTTTAGTTTTTTCTTTTTTTGCAGTATTAATAAATAATTTTTTTAAATATTTAATTTGCAAAGTATTTCTCTTCGTATCCTTAAAAATAACTAATGAAAACCTAATTTACCATAATTTTTCAAACTTTCTAGAGAACCTTTTTCCCTTTCCATTTTATTTGAAAAATGTCTTTCTAATCGACTGGAGTACAACAATATTAACTTAACCAAATCCGTGTTGGCCCCGTCAAGTTGCGTGTAAAAACACGAATTTTTCGATTCATCATCGCGACAGGAGGTCCTTCATCCTAAGTCCTTCGTATTCGTTTGCCCGCGGTTCCATTGATAAATGCCAAAAGAAATTTGTCAATTGTCAATCAGAGGATCTTGAGTTCGAGGTGATCCCTCCATTGACAGCAAACACGCGGTGTGTTGTCCTTACTCATTTCTTTTTTCCCTGACTGCTAGCTGTTTTTGTTATTGTTGCTGCTGTTGCTGCCGCTGCTGCTTCTGCTGCCTAATGTCTTGGCAAATAAGGAGCGCCGCTCCTGGCGGCGACTTCTGCCATGTCCCCTGCATGTCCTCAATCTTCTGGATGTCCTGTTCCTGGCAGGCACGGTACACGGTGTGTGTAAATCAGGCCGCCTGTTTACAAATGTGTCGCCATCGCGTAACTCAATCCTTGCCGCGCTGGTAGCACAGGATGCGCTCGACAGCCGTCGCCGGCTTGGCAAACCAATAAATACCATTTAGATGTTGCCTTAAGGACGCCTACCCCGCCCCGCCCCCTGCGGCCTCCGCTTGCGTTTCTTACACAGTGAGAAATTTTTATACGAGGTATGTTTTAATGGTCTTTTAATAGTTTTCAGGAGCTCAGCACTACATTACGAATTTTTAGATAAAACGTTAGTTTTTTTTGATAATATAATTTACATATTTAATCGAAAAAAATATAAGAATCAATTACTACGTTTGTATGCGTTAAAGAGGCCTGCCTTTCAGAAAAATTGACTCAGTAGTTTTTAAATTAATGTGGTCACCGAAAAAATGAGAAAAGCAAGCGTATTTAAAATAAATTTTATAATTTGAACTAACAACAACTTAAAAAAAATAAAAGTTGTAGTATTTAACCAACTAATGGCTCGTAAATGAATTAAAGTTGTAGTATTGTCCTTTGAGTCGAGTTACCATTGTAAATCATATATTTACTTATTATGATAGGTCTTAAGAAACATTTTCGGTGCCGCTTGTGTGTCAACAGAGTCATGTGTCTGCATGTCGCCGTTCCTAACATATGTCCTTTGACACACACACAAATCCTTCGAAGGACAAAGGTTCGAGGGTGCAGCTGAACTCGCTCAGGACACGCATAAATTAACGGGCACGGAGTTACGCTGATTGCAGCTCTAATCCCCGATTCCTGAATCCTGTTCCCTGATCCCTGATCCCCGCCGAACCATCGTGCACCTTTTGGCCCCATTAGCACGCGTTCTCCGCGCACGCGCAGCCACTTGAAAGGATAACGAATTTCGACTCCACTTCGGCGTCAAGGAGTCGAAACGAAGGCTAAGGGCCAGGACCCAGAGTCCTGCGCCTCAAGTGCCAGGGTTAAAATTAGTCGAGCCCTGTCAGCAAATCTGATTTACGCCCCAGCTGCTCCTTTCCAGCGGAGGTCTTTTCCTCTTGAATCTCTGCTTTCAATCTGCGCTCAGCTTTTCGGGACTGCCTCTTTTTCTCAAATTATAATTTTAGTGGCAATCTAATTAAGCAATTACAAGCGTGCTGTTGGGAGTTGTGTTGAGTTGAGTTGAGCTGCTCTCGGCGCGTTGATTTATATACTGGAAAAGGGGAAAATTAGGGAGGGTAGGGACAGATGTTTGCTCTGAAATCTGTGTACAATTTTATAGTTTTTTTAACATGAAGCCTACTATGGTTTTTTAAATTAAGTAAATCTTATAACTTGTAGATCTGTGCCAATCTTGTTGGCTTATAATTGCTTTATTTTGATAAACACTCATAAATTATACACTATATGTTGCCAGTCGTATACTTATTCGTAATGTTTATTTAGTTTAATTTAATACGTATGCAGTTTGTTATCTGGGGGCAATCATCTTTAAGTGCAATAACTGTTCTACAAAAATGTATAATAATTTTATAAACATTTTATATACAATTATAAAAATCCTGTTACGTTTGTGTTCTTGATTTCAACATTTTTTTAAATTGTGTATTGAACAACTCATGGGGTTAAAATCTAAGCCATTGATTTTGATAAACACTTTAAAATTATATAATAATGCATGGCTTTGCTGATAAAGTACCACTTCTTTGTATTGTTTTTTTTAGTTAATTTAATAGCTGGCTAATATTGTTTTAAAACTACATATAAAGCAGAAATCATCTTTAAGTACAATTATTAACCATATTTTATATATCTTTTTAGGCTTAATTTGAGCGGGAAGCCTTTCTCCTCCCCTCTTCACAACATTGGGTTTACAAATTATGAAGGTCTTCTGGCCTTTTCCTTGCACTTGACACATGGGGACAGTTCAATTAAATGCGATATTTACAACACCTGACACGGACCACAAACTGGACAAATTAGTTGACAGGCCGACAGTCGACGATGACCACAGATGGTCAGGGGTCAAGTGCTGCTCCTTGGGACCACAGATGCACTTCTTCTACCCCCGCCCCCGCCCCCTGTTCCGATTCCTGCCAAAGGGAAAGTGTATGGAAATTAATTACCAAAGGCCATCGACAAACAAATGTTCCATGAAGTTGTGGATATTTTCCCGATGGAGCGAACAATCCCAAGCGATCTGACACATCCTCAACGATTAATCATGCGGAGAGACATAACTTTCGGTGAGATTTTTAATGACTGCGCCTGCTGTCATCGCTGTGATCGTAAAAACTCCGGCCCGTGGGCCATCAAATAGATTTATTATTGAAAATATTTTGGCTGTGCTCCTTGATTGTTTTGTGTCGTCCTTGCACAAAGGATGCTCCCAAAAAATACACAGCAGGATGAGGCGGCGTTTGCGGATGCCCAAAGCAAATGTTGTGTTAAATTTATTTTTATTGTATTTTGTCATTTTATGATGACTTGGCGCAGTCCCTCTATTCCCCGTTTTAATATTGTTTGTACATTTCCTCGGGAGCATTCGAATTCGATTCGTCGTGGGTCATAAAAGTGCAAATGGTCAAACATTTCGAATTTCTGGGGAGGGTATTTCTTTATCCAGGGAGCCAGCTGTCTTGTGGAAATCAATAAGTTACAATCAAAATAGAACCAGAAGCTTTTCCAGTAGCCCATAGCCGTTGAATACCTTAATCTACAACTCTCAATATCCGTTTGTATCGCCGACAATCCTGTGTATGCCACACTAATTAACCCTTGTAGCTCGGCGAGATGGATGACAAAAATGGAAAGGGGCGGCATCTTGGACCGAGGAGCACATGCAACACCTTTACACATAATTAGGGGCCTGTTGACTGCTCCCGACAATGTATGTGTGTGTCTATATGGAAGGTAAACACTTGTCTCCCCCAAAGCACTGAGAATAATACAGTGATATTTAGAAAAGAATTTAAAGCATTTTATCATTCAAAACAATAGAAAAAAAAGAAGAAAACAAAAGGTCATATCATATATATCCGAATAAATCTTTATTTATTCTTAAATGTAACCCTTGTTAAAAATTATTTTTTTTATATTTCTGCACTTGATAGATAATACAAATAAATATAAATTTAAGTTTAAAATTTCTTCAGTTTCTAAAATAAAATTTAATTACCTTTGCGTGTAAATTAAAGTATTTTTTATATAATAAAAACATTTTAATATTGTTTTCTTTATAAATAAATATAAATTGGTGGATGAGCCTATTAATAACCTTATCTTTCTGCAGTTCATATAAATATTTAGTTACCTAAAATTAATGTTTAAGTTTTTTCCAGTGTCCATCTCAACTCATACTTATTCCTAACCACCTCTGGTTCTAGCTTCAACTTGGTGCTGCTGCCATTCATTAATCCACATAGAAATGCCAATGCCAGAGTGAGATGTTAATGGTGAGCTGATGGAAATGGAGATGTGGAGGTGATGGTGATGGTGACCAAAGCGAATGCAAACGAAGGCGGCTGAGGCGGCACAACAACAAAGCGGCCAAGGGGCCTATTAGCCACAATAAAGAGGCAGCCCCACCCATCCCCTGGAAATTCTATTATGCAGATGAATGGATATGGGACTGGCTGACTGACTGACTGGCTGGGTGTTTGTCTGTTTGCCCCGCCAGATGCCATTACAATGTAAACTCAACAAAAGTTCACTAGGCAAACTTTATGCGGGCACGGGCACGGGATCAGGAGAAGACGTCTTCATCTTCTCCAGTACATACTAAATACGAAGTATATCCGAGACAGCACTTCCAGCCACCAGCCACCGCAGCGGAACAATTGATCAAATATCATAATTTATCAAATGACAATGCAACAGGCGGCAGTGGCGGCTTCGGCCTCAGAACGTTTCCATTCCCGTATTTACTTGCCCCAATCCCCACACCACATACCCCGATCTCGGCTTACCGATCCAAGATCCCCGATTCCCCCATTCGAAAGCTACATCTTAATTTATTTGAACAATTTAGGTCTGACACAACACAACGGCCATCGTTTGGCTGTCGTGTTCTCGGTTCTCTTATTTATTTCGATGGTCAGTCAGTCGGGCCCCAATCTATTTAGCATAATTGCAGCTCCGATTGGAACTGAGAACCGAGAGCCGAGACCAGATGATAATAATGCACTCTTGTGTGGGGTCTGTGTGTAATCCTAGATAGGCCACAGTGGGTCAAATAACCAATAACCAAATTAAAAGGCTAGGGAAAATATTGGGACAAACCGTTTATTGTTCTATTATGGTAAGTCTGGTCATGGATTAGCTCTAATCTTACAGAGAAAAGCATACTTTATTGGATTTGGAAAGATTTCAAACAAAACTGTGTCAAGTATGTTCACAAATTGGTACATTTATTTGTAGTAGATAGGTTTCATTCTGGTCTTGGTTTTCTTTAAATTATTTTTTGGGTAACGATTTATACCTTTTGAGCTTAAAAAATTATTTATTTTTCTTGTGGCCTAAATAGCTATTATTAAAGTAAACTGAAGAATTCGCGGAAATATGTATTAATTCAAAATTCATGAAATAAACATTTCCTGAAATCTTTGGTACTCATATTTTGAGTTGATTCTACAATCTTAGTAATTAAAGTAATTGTAATTTGTAACTGTAGTTGTTATTGGCGTATTAATGTAAAAATAATTAAATTAACCTTTCAAAAAAATTGTGGTTCCCTTTTATATGAATTAATCTTACAACATTTATAATTTAAAATAAAGGTTTTGGAAACAGCATTCATAATATCATTATGCCTGGAAATTGACTTCATTTTCTATTATAACTGTTATATTTGAAATTTTTTGTGAAGTGTTTTGGATGGAGTGCATATTTTGCAAAATTTGAATAGGTCATTTTCTGTCTTTCATTTCTTTGAGATCTAAATTGGAATGGACAATTTTGAAAGGGCAAAGAAGCTACATGAAGAGGCAGGAGTTCCTCCTGGTGGTATAAAACGCTGCTGTTGCAACTGCAGAAGAAAACTGGATCCCTACCAGCTTTTCGATGACAACGTGGAGGACATAGCCAAGAGCCTGGCTCAGATAATGCTGATTTGCGGCCTTAGTACAAGCAAATCCAGTGCTGCAAAGTCTATAATCAAGAGGGCCTTTGTTTACCATGAGCGACTGCGCACAACCTGTCCACCGGCTCCAGCTCCAGGGACTCGATTGCATCGCGAGGATTTGCTGCAGGCTCTGCGCCTAAAGTGTGAAATGGAACCTGTGGAGGCGATGCTCACCTATTCGATCATCAAGAGGGCCTTCAAGGCCTTCTATCATGGCAAGCCACAGGTGAGCATTAGTAATCCCATAGTGGATGCCATGGCGGTGCACACCCAGCAAGCTGCTTGGATGCATGCTGCCCACAAGACCTCGAGAATCTTCGACAACTACAAGGCGGCCTTCTTCTGGGCCCACAAACACTACGAGCGGCAGATCAATCTGGTGTACGCTTCGCTCTACCAGCGGATGACCACCAGATCGGATCCGCTCCTGGTGCCGGGATGCCCCTGCAAGGGCTGCTCCAAGCAGGAGGTTCCCGGTCATCCCAAGGCTGGCCAGAGGCCCATGAAGAAGATCAAGCTCTCGGAGGATGCCAATCTACCGGAACCCTGCATCCTTTGTGGCCTGCAAGTGCCGCGAATGGAGAAGGGTGCTGATGTGAAGATCAGGAGGAAGCCACCGCGACCCATAGTCAACCATGAGGTCAACCTGCCCAGATGCCAGCAGTGCAACTCTCCCTTCCTGATTTGTGAATGCAATATCGATCAGTTGACTGGCGAGCAATTCGGGGAATGTGGACAGGACTCTTACAAGGTCAAGTGGTATCGTCTGGAGGAACCAGTGCCCATTTCACAACCCATAGCTAACCACAAATCGAATGGCGAAGGAGAGGAGGACACCAGTTTTGCGGAGGTGATGGAACCTCCAGAGGACTGGGACAATCACCACTGCCCCCTCGACTGCAAACACGACTCCTGCAGCGAGTCTTCAAATGTGTGCCATGCCACCTCGTCGTCCGGATCTTCTTCGCACAGTGACTTTGCCAGCTGCATGGACGGTGAAGGAGAGGAGGACGTGGTGGCCCAGCTGGAGGAGTACCTCAACAAACTGTGGGCCGAGGAGGTGGCTCAAAGGAAGAATCCGTCTTATGTGCCACGGGCCATCGAACCTCCCGGTCCGAGGTGCACGAGGTGCAAGGACTAATTGTACCACTTATATTACCTTTTTGTTTGGCTTCGACTCATACATATTTATCCGCTCATGATTTGGCTAAATAAATTATTGAGCAGTGGAAAAATTAGTTGCTATCTTACATTAAAGATTAAAAAAAAGTACCCAAAATCCGGAAGGTTTAAGTCCATAACTTTTCTATTGAGTATCTGATTTCAAAGTGGTATATCTTTAACGCCTTCGTGCTTAGTTTTTTAAAAAACTGCATTAAAAACTTGGTTTGTAAATTCGGGTCGATTTTTCGCAATTTTAATGATGTAACCCCTTTCAAAATTTCCGAAAAACTCGTCTTTGCAGAAAAGTGACCAAAATCCTGCAGTTTTAAATCCATAACTTTTCTTTCCGCCACCGAATTTCCAAGTGGAGTATCTTCAAAGTGTTATGGCTTAACCCTCTAAAAACCTGCATTTAAATTTTGTTTTAAAATTATGAGTTGTTATGTATTGCGCAATAAAACCTTAACAAATTTCCGAAAAATAGCTTTGCAGAAAAGTGACCAAAATCCGGCAGTTTTAAATCTATAACTTTTCTATTGAGTATCCGATTCCAAAGTGGTATATCTTTAACGCCTTGGTGCTTAGTTTTCTAAAAAACTGCATTAAAAACTTGGTTTGTAAATTCGGGTCGATTTTTCGCAATTTTAATGATGTAACCCCTTTCAAAATTTCCGAAAAACTCGTCTTTGCAGAAAAGTGACCAAAATCCTGCAGTTTTAAATCCATAACTTTTCTTTCCGCCACCGAATTTCCAAGTGGAGTATCTTCAAAGTGTTATGGCTTAACCCTCTAAAAACCTGCATTTAAATTTTGTTTTAAAATTATGAGTTGTTATGTATTGCGCAATAAAACCTTAACAAATTTCCGAAAAATAGCTTTGCAGAAAAGTAACCAAAATCCGGCAGTTTTAAATCTATAACTTTTCTATTGAGTATCCGATTCCAAAGTGGTATATCTTTAACGCCTTGGTGCTTAGTTTTCTAAAAAACTGCATTAAAAACTTGGTTTATAAATTCGGGTCGATTTTTCGCAATTTTAATGATGTAACCCCTTTCAAAATTTCCGAAAAACTCGTCTTTGCAGAAAAGTGACCAAAATCCTGCAGTTTTAAATCCATAACTTTTCTTTCCGCCACCGAATTTCCAAGTGGAGTATCTTCAAAGTGTTATGGCTTAACCCTCTAAAAACCTGCATTTAAATTTTGTTTTAAAATTATGAGTTGTTATGTATTGCGCAATAAAACCTTAACAAATTTCCGAAAAATAGCTTTGCAGAAAAGTGACCAAAATCCGGCAGTTTTAAATCTATAACTTTTCTATTGAGTATCCGATTCCAAAGTGGTATATCTTTAACGCCTTGGTGCTTAGTTTTCTAAAAAACTGCATTAAAAACTTGGTTTATAAATTCGGGTCGATTTTTCGCAATTTTAATGATGTAACCCCTTTCAAAATTTCCGAAAAATTCGTCTTTGCAGAAAAGTGACCAAAATCCTGCAGTTTTAAATCCATAACTTTTCTTTCCGCCACCGAATTTCCAAGTGGAGTATCTTCAAAGTGTTATGGCTTAACCCTCTAAAAACCTGCATTTAAATTTTGTTTTAAAATTATGAGCTGTTATGTATTGCGCAATAAAACCTTAACTTATTTCCGAAAAATAGCTTTGCCGAAAAGTGACCAAAATCCGGCAGTTTTAAATCTATAACTTTTCTATTGAGTATCCGATTCCAAAGTGGTATATCTTTAACGCCTTGGTGCTTAGTTTTCTAAAAAACTGCATTAAAAACTTGGTTTGTAAATTCGGGTCGATTTTTCGCAATTTTAATGATGTAACCCCTTTCAAAATTTCCGAAAAACTCGTCTTTGCAGAAAAGTGACCAAAATCCTGCAGTTTTAAATCCATAACTTTTCTTTCCGCCACCGAATTTCCAAGTGGAGTATCTTCAAAGTGTTATGGCTTAACCCTCTAAAAACCTGCATTTAAATTTTGTTTTAAAATTATGAGTTGTTATGTATTGCGCAATAAAACCTTAACAAATTTCCGAAAAATAGCTTTGCAGAAAAGTGACCAAAATCCGGCAGTTTTAAATCTATAACTTTTCTATTGAGTATCCGATTCCAAAGTGGTATATCTTTAACGCCTTGGTGCTTAGTTTTCTAAAACACTACATTAAAAACTTGGTTTGTAAATTCGGGTCGATTTTTCGCAATTTTAATGATGTAACCCCTTTCAAAATTTCCGAAAAACTCGTCTTTGCAGAAAAGTGACCAAAATCCTGCAGTTTTAAATCCATAACTTTTCTTTCCGCCACCCGATTTGCAAGTGGAGTATTTTCAAAGTTTTATGGCCTAAGTCTCTAGAACCCTGCATTTAATTTTTTTTTTTAAATTATGAATTATTATTTTTACGGCTTAACTCCTTAAGTAATTTCCGAAAATAAAAACTTTTTTATGGTTAATTTTTTGAAAGAAAGGATGGCTAAAACTTCTGTCACTTCTAGAATTACGTTAAGTTCATCGACTCGCCATCTGATCCCTGATCCATCCCACACCCACTCCCACTCCCAGACCTGGGCAATCGATCGCCCACACGGGAGCCGGCGCTTATCACGCGCCCACAGATCGCGCCTTGACAATGGCCACTTAAAATGCCATTGCCGGTTGTAATCGCCTCTAAATTGCTGGCACCTCAGTGCTGGTGCTGGATGCAATGGGTTGGAATGGGGATGGGGGATGTGGCATTCAATGGGATGGAGCTGGAGCTACTGTTGTCATCGCGGGCTGCTCCGCCCAGCAGCTCCCAGGAGCTTCCACATAAATCGCTGCGTTTATCTAAGCACTTGCATCTTACGCTGAAACAGAGCCACAGGGCAGGGAGTTGCGGATTTTGGCCCGTTCACGCTCCTCGCCGCTTATCAATCTCAGCTCATCTGCACGCAGAACAGAACAGCGTCGAACTAAACCGAACTGAACTGAACCGAACCGAAAAGACAAGAAAAACAAAACGGAGCGGAGTGGAGAACATCTTCTGCGAAAAATAATTCCGCAACTTGTCACATTTTGTAAGATTCAAAGTCGCGGAGACAGCAGGCACTAAACTGCAGACGCCTCTGCGCCAGGGATTCTGGGATTGGCCAGCAATGAGGAGTCCTTGACTGTCGGGATGCAACTATTTAAACAGGGTAGTTCTAAATAAGAAGGTATAATCGACTGGGAAAACTAAATATATAAATTTTAAATCACGTCATGTAGTAAAAAAAAATTATTTAGTGCTGAAATAGTTTCTTAATTTTAGAAATAAACACATCGCCTATTTTAGAAACAATTACTTTAATATTTAATGAATGAAATTCTTAGAATTAAGAAATAAATATCTTGTTTTACAAAAAATATAACCTATAATGGAGTTTATTTTGTCACATGGGATTATCTCATATCAATAACAATATCATAACAATTTAATTTTTAAGTTTATGATGATAACTGAAAGTATACACATTAAACTTAAGCAATGTTTATGTCCTTTGTAGAAAAGATTAAATAGTTTAAGTCTGAATTAAGAGGGTTTCCTTCAGTCGAATTATCACAAATTACCCTCACTATTTTTGACTAGGCTTAGACTTCACCCTCGAATTCCCCGTCTGACTCCCCAATGTCTCTGCATCGGTCTGTCGCTGTGGCATGTTAAACTGAAGTCACATTTGCATATAGATTTATTTTTATGGCCTCTGTCTTTGGATGGCTCGTGAACTATTTATGTGTGACGATCGAATCGGATGGGATGGGATCGGTTGGGGGAGAGATCTGAGCACAGACCCAGTCCGAAGATCGGTTCTTATTGCCCAACTTTCCTCCCATTAAAAGATCTCCATTAAATATTTGGAAATATTGGAAAATCTCTAGATTATTTCGTCTTGCCAAATTCTTAATTATGATATGCTCACATTGGATTTCTCTATTACCCCAGATTTGATGTGTCTCCCCATTCCTATATTTTCGATGGGGATTAGTTATTGTGTGTGGTAAACAAAGCTCTTACACTCAATTGAGTGCCACTTCTCGGTTTGTGGATGGAACTTGGAAGCTGTTTAAGAGACGCAAGAAACCATTGAACTTTTCAATAGCCATCAAATTTGCGTCTAATGCGAACTGAGTCTCAGAAAGTTCCCCACCATCGTCTTCAAATTTGTTATGCCCCTGCATTCGATAGGCACTGCAGCCACTCGAAGTTCACTTTGAATGTTTCATTCTGATGCACTCAGAGAAAAATATTAGTCAAAGTAATTGTTATTTTTCAAGACTATTTAAGATATTTAATTTGTTGCGAATCAAATATTTGATTTCTATTTACTAAAAAGAATATAAGCTGACTAGTTACCCAATTCCTTAAAATAAAATATATGCATGCCTACATTAACAAGAATTTAATATTAATTTTAAAAACAATATTCTTAGGAGTGAGAGCTATTTAAATTTGTACTAATTTTCTCTCGTGTATGTTCTGTTCTGATCAGTGCCATTGTTGTGGGCCTGGAGCTTAATAGTCTTTTTATAGCTGCACTTTTTCAACTTCAATTAATGAAGTGTCGAGTTGTTAACACCAAAACACACGCCTTACTCCCAGTGGTGCAGCCTATGGCTCCCGATCCCCAATCCCCGATCCCCGCATCCATTTACCATTTAGCATCTCACCATGGACGTCTATTTCCAAACATTTTGGCCAGCCGCGTGATGGGAAGATACTTCGTGGCTGCTGCAGGTGGGGCAGCCGAAAATGTAAACAAACAAATTAAAACGAGCATCGACAGCAGCCGCAGACTTCGCCTCAGGTGAGAAAACGGGCACACGGAGCCGGGAAATGGGGATATATGGGAAAAGAGGCCGAAGGGAAAATGCATTTTCACGGCAGCGCGAAACGCAAACAACCCAGACAGAGAAGAAGCCGCGGAAACGGCCAGAAGCTCTTTAATCCCAAAAAAACTTTGGTAGCACTTAACGGTTTACGAGGCTGCAGAGAAGGCCTTTAAAGTTTAAAGTATTTAGATATCAAAGTGGGAAAGGAGATGTGGAGCCAGCCGTAAAGCCCTCTATCTGGTGCATTTTTTGGCGACACTTTGTCGTGATTGAGTAGTTTAAAATTAAAGTGTGATTAAAAGCGAAACTAAAACGTTAATTTCAGGGCTCGAAAATTTAAGATAAGTTGTGTTTAGAAAATGTAATTAAATGCAAATAGGAGATGGGAAGAAGGAATTTATAATTAATTTCCAGTTTTCTTGTACCTATTTGTTTAATATGTAAAATAAACACACAAAATAAATTACAAAGGTTTATGTAATAAAATATTATTAAATATAGGAGTTAAAATTTAATAAATAAAAATAAAGAATTAAATTATATATTTATTAGTCGAACATCTGAAAATTATAACAGCATTCAAATAAAATAAATCATTGAGAAAAATGTTGTTGTTATTACAAATTTACTATAAACATCCTATAAATTATGTGGGTACTAAGTATGAAGTAAAAATATTAAATTCATTATATTACATATTTATTAGTCGGATTTTTGCAAATTTTTAATTCAACATTCAACTTAAATCAATTATTTTAATGAAAAGGGTTTTTAGAAAAGAATAGTTTTGTGTTATTCAAAATATAGTATAAAAATCTGATAAATTATGTTGGTTTTCCCAGCGTCACACATACCCCCTCCCTTTTATTTATTGATCAGTTAGTACACTTCTCACATCATCCCATTGTGGTTCAGTTTGCTCTGCTGCTTCACGGTGTCCAGAAATCAGAAATCAGTGTGGGAAAACAGTTGGAGCGTCAACTGAAGCGCCGCTTCCACCTGAAACTCCAACTCCAAAAAGAAAGAAAATCTGGAGAAGGCCGCCGCCAACGCATCCGAGAAGTTGGAGAAGTTGGAGTCCAGAGCGAAGAACAGTGAGAAAAATGTTAATGATAAACCTGTTTGTCAATTAAACAAAAATATTGTAATAGTTGATAACAGAATGGGCAAACACGAAGTGCACCGAGAGGGAGTGAGATGATGAGAACTTCCCAGAACCGAAATGGTTTGGTATGGAATAGGTAGGGTATTGGCGGGGATTGGAGGAGATTGGAGGGGACTGGAGGGCAGAGGAGCAACAAGGGACAACCTGTCAACCCAAAGGGCCCAAAGGCTGGACTGACTCGATGTGCTTGACTTTGGTTTCATTATCGCCTCGCCTTCAACTTGAATTTTACCATGTTCCAGGCCCAGTTCGAATTATGCACTGGGAAAAATTCAACGAAATTTGCATTAAAAAATGAAAAGTTCTTTAAAGTTTTTTTCTTTTACAGGGCACGGGCCAGATCGAATAACTATACCATACAGCTCATAAGGAAACAATCGGAAAAATAAATTGAAAAAAAATTATTCATTGGAAAGTCATCAAACCTGTACTGTTTTTAACCATATACGCTTCAGAATGAAAATATGGTCGTTTAATAGAATATTTTATATTTGTAATAAGAAGGCCCAATTTATATAGTTTTAATGCTCAGTGCATTCGCAGTCACAACTCTCGGCCATTTGGCCACTCTGGCTTATTGTTTAGTGAAGCATTTAACTTATAAATATGGTTGTGTGTGGCAAGAGGAAAAGTGTTTTGTGTATGTGATACCGTTTTGAAAGACATTCCGAGTGGGGATTGTGGATGAAGAGTGAGTTCTAGTTGGGCGGGGGGAAATGGGGAGCATCCCGGGCACTTCACTCGCAGCGCTGTGAAATATTTCCCATGACAATTCTGTTTGTTTTTCGTGCATTGTGTTGGCACCTCCTCACCTGCCTGTCGCCTGTTCACCTGGACTCACTCCACCTCCACCCAACCTATTCCACATTTCTGGACCGCCTTGTCTTGTCGTCGCCCACTCGTTTCGCTTTCGGGCTGCCCAACGCAGGTCCCACTCCATCTGCATCTGCATCTCATCTGGGACCAGACCATCGCTCCACAATGTGGAACAAGTTTGCTCTATTTGCTTTATCTATGCCCATTGCCGGTCGTCACCGGCTGTCACTGCTTTTTTCCCAGGCACAAGGCTCCACTCCAGAGCGACAATAGCTGCCAGGCAATCCCAATTCCCTCTGCCTCTTCTGCCCATCCCCATCGGAGATCGAGCCCCATTTGGCCTCCAATTGATCTCCCATATGGCGGCATTGGCTGATGGGTATTTCAACAGGTCGCCCGGCACGGGTTGGCATGCGAGGCATCCTGCCATCCTTACAGCCTTCCAGCAAGTTGCTAAAAACACCAAACATTTTAAAGGGAATTATGCCGGTTTTTGGGGAAAGAAATTCGAATACAAAATACTCTGACCATTAAAGATATGTTTAAACAAGAGATTTATATATAAAACATTATAAGGCAGTAACATAAATCATGCAAAATGTAATAATCTTATTTATCGTTTTAGGAATCTCAACATAAATTAAAGCAACTCATTTATAACATAATATATTAATATAAACCATGTTTTGAAAAAAGTTATTTTCCTTGATATGAATTTTTTATAATTTTTCATCTCATATGAATACAAAATACTAATCTAATTTATCTACCGTAATAACATTTAAATATAATTAATAATTATAAAACATATTTATTTATTAAAATAAATCATTTTCTGGAAAATGCTATTTGCCTTTAAATGAATTATTTATAACGTTGCAACTCAAATTAAACTTAAACGATTTTCAATATTAATAAAATGAAACACTTATAAGTTCACTACATTATTTAAACAGTTTTTCAAACAATTTTCATTTCTTTTTTAATGCTAACAAATTTTGAAGCAACCTGTTCTCCTCAATAGAGTATAACTTATTAAGCTCCCTTCATTCCAAAGCTGTCGGCGAGGTCAATGGAGTGCCGCCGAAATTCCGCGAAATTAAACCAGCCAAAAAACACAGAAGAAACCCCCAAAACGAAGGAAGAACAAACTCAACTCAACTAAACGGAACCACACCGAACGAGGGCAATTTGCGATCGTTGGTAATTATAATTGACCAAAGTCCAGGGACTCAGAGGAAGGTGGTGGATCGATTGGGGCACTGGTATTCGGCTGAAGTCCACCATTTGATGAAGTCCAGTTTGGAGGATCTCTGGCCAATCTGGCGCTCCTCGGCGGGTTTTTGGATGAGGGAGCAGAGGGCGCAGTAGGGTTGGGAAGTTTGGCGCAGCTTGTAGATGGAGTGCCACCAGAAAAAGCGATTGTACTCCTCCCGGTTATTGGCCAGATCCATTAGGTGACCCACTAAATCCTTTGGAGTGGAAAAGTCCAGGCCTCTGATATACGATTGCTGTGGTACCAGATTGGTTAGATTTCCTCCTCCGATCAGGACGGGTACCATAAGTTTATCCATGGCCATGTACATCTGCGGGGGCACATAATCGGGACAGGCGCTTGTTTCAAAGATGAGCATAAAGTGGTAGTGACTGCAGCTAGGGGAGGGAAAATAAAGGTTAAATTAATAGATCTAGCTTATGCCAATATTTCTTTTTAGTTCAGATTAAACGGATAGCTTTAATTCCATTAAAGTAAATATATGTTTTAAAATATTATGTTTTTGAATCAAATAGAAATCGTTCTAAAAAAAAATAAAATGTTGAATTATATCAGTCTATTGATATTTGTTTTTACTATTCCATTTTTTGTTGTGTTAGTATTGGGATGTATTCTCTAATTTACTTACTCTTGAGAACCCAGACAACTATCATGGGCATCGATATCGGCATATTTTCGCAGTTCCTGCAAATACAGGCTCCCCGGAAGACTATTCTGATCCACTTCGTATGTTAAGTACACAGCCAGTCGTGTCTTTTTTAATACTTCTGAATCCAGACGTTGGGGCATAGAGCCCGGCATATCATCAACTAAATTATTACTGGGACTGCGGAACCAGTTGAGACGTCTGGCCAGATTGGTATGGGAGAAGTAGTAGTCCGTCCAGATCAATTGCGAGTCCAGTCGATAGGTCATGGTCAAATTGAAGGGGGGCAACATTGAGCCAGCCATTGGATTCTGCGCCAAACTCAGTGGCTTCTTGGCGGCATAGACGGCATAGTAATCAGGAGTACGCTTGATGATATTCAAATCTTCAAAGGAGTAGGGATGATCGGCACTGAAGACCACTGCATCAAAGGGTTTGTCGTCATGATTTCGGCGAGTGGAGACCAGACAACCACACTCCATGTGTGCCGATCCACCGGTTGGTAATTGCTCGTTCCAAAGCAGGATCATCTTGAGACTGGTCTCCTTCTCAATCCTTTGGCGTCGGTACAAGGGAATCGTGATGAAGAGCAGACAAATGGTTACCACAGCCACAATGGCTTTCAGGACATTCATACACTGATTGGGTGAGTACAACTCACGCTGCAGATTCCTCATAGAAACTGGAGATCTTCGGGGGGGAGGCAGCCTAACAGCATCCTCTGAGTTTATCGAATCCGTATCCGGCATCCTTCGATTTGTATCCTTACCATCTGCGTCGTCAAAAAGAAGCTGAGGTGGCAAAAACCTGGGAATGTCCTCAATTTCATCAGTTTGCTGACGCCGTTGCTGCTGCAGATCGGGATTCCGGCGGAAACTAAGGATCTTGTCCACTGGCGTCGCTCGTAGTTTGTCCATCGGCATTGTAACTTGATGACACTTACAAATAATTTGACAATAAAGTTCTTTAGCAATTGGTTTAGGTCTAAAATAAATTAATTTACATTGGCAAACCTTTGAAAATATGTGCTACAAAATGGAAATGGTAATCCAATAATAAAACAATTTTTTAGATGCAAACCTTGAGTGCGATTTCTTAAAATAAAACCTTAAGAAAATTGGGTGTTATTTGGATTGAAAAGAGTTTTAGTTATTGTAGACAAATTTTGAGTCAAAAATCAAGGCAAACTGTTGCAATCAAAATAGAGAAATGCGTTATTTAATTTCTACTGAATTTCAAAAATAACATACAAATTTAACCTTTGCTGTGTAAACAATATTTTACATGATTTATGCTTTAATAATACGTCTGGAAACTAAAAAATAAATATTTATTAGAGATGCTCTTACTAAAATAGAGAAATGCTTCTGCAATTATGTTTATCATACTCTTTGATTTCTATTCAGTTTCTAAAATCAAATATAAATTGTATAACATCAAAACGTCGCTGGGAATTGATTGTCTCGATCGGCCAACTGTGGAAAACCCTTTTCAATCAATCCAGCGTTTTTCCCCTCCCCCAACCTGCCCACTTTGCATTTCCGATTTGGCACTTTCATCAGGATGCCCACCGACACTTCCTCTCTCGCCTTTTTGCCGTTTTCAACTCGTTCAGGCGAACAGGAACAAAGTAATCAATCATTTTGCCAAACCATCAGAAACATGACAATCTGCCAGAAAATTTGCGTAACGTTTTACGATTCACCGTTGGGTAAGGGAATTCATGTATATAGCCAGCACGCTGAACAATCCATCGATGATGTATCACTGCAATTTCGAATATTCATTTCGCAGTAGTTGTTTTTTCATCCTGCATGCCTTCAGTCTGGGCTCATTTCAAATGCGTTCCGCATTCGCGACGAGGATGTGGAGTGGGTGGTTGACTGGGGGAGGAGTTGGGTGGAGTGGGTGGAGTGGGTGTCGAACAGTGGACAGTGGGGAGGCCACTTTGCGGACGTGCCAGGCGCTTGAATGGATCGTTGGCTGTGTAGTGGATGGATGATGCCGGTGTCATTGTTTCCCTCAACTCACCTCTCCCATCCTCCTTCACGCACGTTGTCTCAATTATGGGAAAGTGCCAGTGTAAAAAGAGAAAAATATGTATACAAAGAGGGAGTGCACTTACAAAATGATTGTCCCTAAAGTTTTTCTTATAAAATTAAAATTAATTTTAATTTAAAATTCGTACAATTTCTTAAGTATTTCTATTTTTACAGTTTTTGTGGAGCTATAGTTGTGGAATTGGCGTTTAGTTTTACAGCACCTGCGGAAATATATTTATGGCATTGGCATACAATTGATTACAAACAATGATTGCTTATAACATTTTACTAACATTATCGTCATATTTTAATTTCTTTAATATTTTATAGCTTTTTTTAGGTATCCTGACTAGTGAATTTAATGTTTAAGCTTTTAAAAGACATGATAAGATTAAATATTGTAGGATAAAATATATTTGACAGTAAACATATGTAAGAATATGCTTAAATATGTTAATAAAATAATAGGTTACAAATTTAATTATTAGGAATGATTTCTTAAAGACATATTTAATATGAAGCTATGAAGTGTCAGACCAAAATTATCTCTGATAAAAATGCTCAGAATTATTTTTAAATAAACACAATTTTTATTACTGTAGCAGTGCGGGAGGACTTACCAATTTTCGAATTGACAACCATTTAAATGTTACGCATCCATGTTAACTTCCACAACGTGACTCGCCAGGCAGAAATATTTAAAATGGGATTCGGGGAAGAGGAGACCATGTAAATTGCCTGGATCCGATGAGTTATGAAAGTGAAATGGATTTGTGATTGCCGGCCAAACGAGCGAAATTAGAAGAAGCCTGGGCCAAAACAAAGAAAACCCAACCGAAGCGAACCCAAACACATACCACATATAAATTTTAATTATTCCCGCGAATCGCTGGCGAAGGAAAACGAATGCATTCTGAGATCCCAATACCATACCAATACCATACCAATACCAGAGCGATCCTGCTCCAAGTCGGCGAATGGAATTGAAATTCCATTGTGAATATTTTTTGGGGGCGTTGCCGGCGCGTCGAGAAAAAATGCAATAAATATGCATATGAGAGAAGCTCACCTCCGAGGAGGTGCTTTTAAAAGGAGTCCCAAAGGGGCTGAGGAGTTATGGCGATTTGAATAATTTGGTTCCCACACTTTCGAAGATCTCTCTTCGCTGGCAGCCGTTTTTAATTAAAGTTATTAATACTGCTCCTCAGACTAGGTGATTTACCTAAACCACAAGGTCTTCCATGTCTGCCCATTTCCATTCTTCGCTTCACCGCTGACTTTTGACTTCTGACTCATGGCGGGGGCTACTTATCGGAACTGGAGGTGTCCTTAAGCCCCGATCTCGATCGGCAATTAAATGCCGCACACATTGTTGGCAACTGCTTAATTATCCATTCGATCCCATTCGATCGCATTCGATTCGATTGGATTCCAAAGAGCCGCCTCTAACTCGGACCTTTGGGCTTAAGACTTAAGGAAAGGAGCTAACGAATTAACATGTAATTATCTCAGCTTGGGCCGCTGGCCAAAGGAAACGCATCGAATCGCCGGCGACACCCGGACCAATAACAAGCTGGGGTAGCAGAGATGACAATTTAGCTATTAAAAAAAAAACAAAAAAATATACATGTTTTTAGATATAAAAATAATTTTCTAAAAATAAATTTATAAAGAAATTTGAAAAATTAGTTTTCGGTAACGAAAATAGTTATTGTAAGCTTGTGTAAGCTTTTGCAATTAAAATTTAAGTTCCAAAACCGAGTAAAAATAAAAAAAAAATTATAAAATAAAACAAAATCATTCAGTAAAATAATAAGTAACAACAACAACTATTTCATTCAAAGGCAAGTTATTGGATTTAAATTATTTTTCTTAAGTTTAAATAGCTACCATTATTTAGCTACTTTCTGTTGTCTAAAACGAGTCAGCACTGTTGGCCAGAAACGCGACTGCAGCCTAGACACGAGAAAAGATACAGATACAAAGCAAACTGATCAAGGGATTCTAGAGGCTGAGAGGTAGCAGCTGCCGCAGGTTGCGTGCGTGCCGCTTCTTACTCCGCCCCCTTCGATTCCTAATTCCTGCTTCTGGGGGCGTGGTCCTTCTTAGGCGGATTCCCAAATTGATCTTGGACTTGAACTCAGACCCTCAGACCCTCTGACCCTTCGACCGACCACCCGCACTAATAAGACGAAGGGGAAGTGGCGCTAAAGTTGTCAGTCGCCTTGTCCGCAGGCGACGATCCTCTACACCCTAATTAGGTGTTATCTACGACTTGGGTTTGTCTGCTCCTTTTTATGTGGCCGACAAAGTGAGAAGTTTCTGGCAGTGCGGTGGAGTGATTAAATGAGATACACCCCAAAGACCTCCAAAGACTTTCCCTCGCAATCAGCTTGGCGCCATCCGAATGCGGAACATTTAAATACCAGGGTTCGGCCGAAATTAGTAAATGGCCAAAACAAAGTTAAGTTAGGGATTTATAACAAAATTGCAACTGCATTTTATCTTTTAATGATTAGGGCAAAATATTGTTTTCAAATAATTAACAAGATTCTCATTTAGTCAAACAAACTGTAAAAAATTCTCCTTTTGTTATTTGCAGAAAAATTAGTTCAATTTAAATATTCAATTCTTACTAGACTTTAAATATCAACAAAGTATACTTATTTTGTTTATGTGGAAACTAGTTTTAGCACACTAATGATCTTAAAAAACCATTTTCCAAAATTAGTTTTTGCTTGTTTGATCTCTATTAAAGCAACATAAAAAACATTTTTTAGAGAATGTCACACAATTTGATACAATCACATAATTCAGAGACTATTGAAGAGACTATTTGGCTTTCACAGGAATATGACATAATTTCGTCGACTGCGTGAACTTGGTTGAGTCATCTTCACACGCGTGTTGGCGTTTTGGCGCCACTTATTCGGCGGCTGACGCTGAGTGTAATCGTAATCCATCACTGACACACTTGTCCAGTCGTTTGTGCTTATCACTGCCCGGCACTGTCCGGTAATCGCACTCATTGTCCAAATCCAAATTCTCGCGACTGTTTTGCGCAATTGATGGCAATCAAGGGAAGGGCAATTGCTGCGACCAGCGGTGGATGCTCCGAATGGAGGCTGCTCCGGTCCATCACGGGATGACACATCCGGAAACTGGCAATCAGCAGTCCGGAGCAAAGCGGATTCCGCTGATTTAACCGGAGGCAGCTAATTGTGACCCACTCTCGCCGTTTATCTATGAATGCAATTGCAAAAGTTCACCATAAATTGGGTAAACTGGTTCACAAATCTTTATTATGCACTGAAAACTAATGTGTTTACGGATTCCTAGCAAGCTCACAGGCCAAGCAATTAGAAATTTAAATTGGAAATAAATGTATAGGGAAAAATATGCTTCCCAAACTTGAACAGTCCTTAGAAAAATTAACAAGTAGTCAACAAGTACTAAAGATAAAGTTAAGCACACTGGTAAAAACAAATGAAGAAAATCCAATCCAGTTCTCTTTTATTTTTATACATTGCTGTTATTAGTAATTTTAAATATTTTTTTTATATATCATTAGACTATTTCGGAACAGTTTTTATTATCTGAAAAATAAATCCATAAGTCCAAATTTTAATTTAAGAAAATATATAAAGTTAATACTCAGCTATTTAATTTTACTATTTCTTTTTTCATTTCTGTACTTATTTAAGGGTACAATTTATTAACAGTTATATGACTAATGGCAAACGCAGTACTTTTTCATTTGTGCCTCCACCACACACCTAGAATCCTTTTCGTAGCTGTTCAACCTGCTCAGCTCGTTTACATTCATGGTCAGCACTTTAGTTCTTATGTTCCATCCCACTGTGGCCTCAAACAATCCTCTGGGAATGGCCCAAAACTCAAGTGTGTAGATATGCTCATCCGGATCCGTGGGTTTGAAGGCAGTTGCCAGTATAAGTTTTCGGTATGCGTGTCGGACGTGACCCAATTTAAATGTGTGACAAATATCTGAGATCTTCTTTTCCAGAAAGTGTTTGTTTAAACCATCCACTATGGCCTGGCCAATTTCCTTGATTAATGTAGGATCGTTGACTTTTTCGGGTGGGTGACAAGTGCACCATTTTTCATCGATGCCCGCTTCGGAGCAAGCTCGATTTACTGGTAGGTCAAAGAAGAGCGATTGACAAGTTTTACACTTAACCGCCTGGAAATTGGGATCGAAATCAGCCATGGATGCAGTGTTCAATTGCAGCAGATGGTGCAAAGTCATGTGCAGATCGTAGTTCGAGGAAAGTCGATTGCGATTGTTCTTCAGGCTTTTCACATACTGGGGATATTTCTCCCTAAACCACGGCGGCACATAAATGAAAATCATGGGCAGACGCTCTTCGAGAAATCCCGAAACTTTCCTTCTAAGAGAGTTAAACCGATCTCCGTGGTCACTCATGAAAATCACAACCGATCGATTGAATAGTCCCAGTTGCTGAAAGTTGTCCAAATACTCCTTGAAAGTACTATCCAAAGCTGTGGCTCCCGTCATGGAGTTATGGGTAAAACTGTTGCTCCAGAGTAAGCCAAACATGGGAGCCTCGTTCAGAAAGCGCTTGATGAATTGGTGACCAAAATCCCAGACATATTTAAAACTCAAATGACGGCCAACACAATAGGCCGCGCTTAGATATGAAGTCAACTTTAGAGTTGCCTCGGCAGCATATAGAAAGGGTCTTAAATAATAATCGACTGGCTTGTTCACAAATCCAGCTGCTCCATAGTTGAAAGTGCTCATGTACTCACAGTCCTCGGCGAAAGCTGTTGTATATCCCTCTTTTTTGTAACGCTTCCAGATAAAGTTGACTTCGTCCAGGCAACCTCGATAGCTTAGACCGCAATGCTTTCTCACTTGTTCCTTCGAAGTTCCCGCAAGTACGGCCAACATATTGGGTAAAGTATTGTCGCCCACTTTATTGTAGCCCTGCATCTCGAACCATCCCTCCTGATCCACATACTTCGAGACCTTTGGCATGGCACGCCGAAAGTTCATGCGGGATGTGGAGTCCAGACCCATTATAATCACACTGGGCTTGGGCTCATCCTTCTGATTCATTATCTCGAGATTTTTTCTCAACTGCTTGGCCGTAAAGTGATCCTGAACGAAAGCGAAACCATCTCGCTGGAAGGTCTTTGATTTCTCGCTTTTATTTTGGATTGAACAAGAAGTGGTTAGGAATTCGACATCTTTGGGTAGAGTCAGGTGGTGGGTTAAAAGTCGATGATCTGATAGACTAATGGTATACAAAACGAACGGTTAATGGAAGTCTGAAGCCTGCTTAACGCTAACCCACCTATATGAATCATCTGGCCGCATCTCCTTGCTGTTTCTTGTAATTTTCTGATAGTAACAGGTCAATGTAATATTTTTTTGTTTACCCTTAACTAACTCCTTGTGTATGTGCAAACGATAGAGCTTAGTTTCTGGGTCGAATTCGGGCGTTATTAGCTCTCTATCGTGGTGACAGACCTTAAGTTTTCGGCTACGAAATCTTGACATTATATCCTGGCTGAACGGATCCACATAGGGCATCTTGCAGAACTCGCTTTCCACAAAATATTTGGTAAGGTTACTTGGCTTAGATTCCCATTTTGTGGCTGTTATGGTGACTAACAATGAGCAGAGAATCAGAAGGAGTTGCTTACACCTCGAAGTCATTGTTTCAACTAACTGAAAGTTGGGTTAAAGTACTTTAATTTGGGGGAATAATCATGTTAAGCATGGTTGATGCTTTTTAAAAGTTGAATTGTAATGTAAAAAGTTATGGTCCATATTTAGAATAAGATTGTGTAATATAACATATTAAGCTTAATAAAACAAATATATATTAATATTCTCGTGGTGTTTATTTAAACGGTATACATATGCAATATTTCTTGATTATTGGGTCTTTCGTGCACTTGCTATACTCGTTGTATGACTCCAGGCGACTTATTTCGTCCACGTTCATATTTAATGATTCTTTCTGGGTGTTCCACTGTACAGTGGCCTCGAAGTGCGCCGATTTGGGCCAGGTGTCGAAAGTTATGATGTATGTGTGCCGTTCATCGTCTTCGACGGACTCATCAGTAACTGGCATCTTGCGGTCCATATGAAGGACCATTTTTAGGCTGTAGTTTTCGCAAAGCTTGGTGAGATTTCTATCCTCCAGATGCTGGTTCATTTGTCGCACCACTTCTAGAGCTATTTTCCTAGTGTGTTTTGAATCGGTTACCGTTTGAGTGGGCTCACAGGAGCACCACTTTTCACGAATTCCAGCCTGGGAACAAATTCTATTGTAGGGAAGTTCGAAGAACAGCGACTGACACTCTTTGCACTGTGAAGCCTGTAGACTTGGACTGAAATCCGACATAGAAGTGACATTTAGTTGAAGTAAGTGGTGCAAAGTCATGTGCAGATCAAAACTGGAGGACAGTCGATTCCGGTTTCTCTTTAGGTTCTCCACATACTGGGGATATCTTGCTCTAAACCAGGGAGGAACGTATATGAACATCATGGGCAGACGTTCTTCAAGATATCCCGAAGTAGCGCTTCGTCGAGTTACCCCATATCTATAGCCATGATCGCTTAGCACCAGCACAATTGACCGCTCGAAAAGTCCCAGGGCATCATATACCAAAAGATATTCCCAGAAGACCCTGTCCAAAGCAGTGGCTCCCAAGAAATCCTCATGAGTAAAGCTGTTTGACCAGAAGAGTCCAAATATAGGTGCTTTGCTTTGGAAGCGTTGCATAAACTGTTTGGCAAAGTCAAAGATGTATCTGAAACTTAACCGGCGGCCAAGGCAGAATACGTTTCCAAAATCACGTCTAGTCTTCAAATTGGCTTCCAAAGCGTTTATAAAGTTCCTAAGATAGTAATCGACTGGCTGGTTCTTAAAACCGGGCTTTTGATAGTTAAACGTGTTGATCTGGGCACAGTCTTCACCGAAAGCTGTCATATAGCCATACTTTTTGAATCTTCGCCAAATATAATTAAGGTTATTAATGAATGAGCTCCTTCTAAATTTACCTTCCAAAAGAGATTTTTCCTCGGCGTTTCCAGTGAGAATGGCCAAAAGATTGGGTAGGGTATTTTCACCCACTTTATTATATCCCTGCATTTCGAACCATCCTGGACGTTCCAGGAATTCCAGGAGCTTGGGCATAGAGCGTCTCAGGTTTAAGCGGGATGTGGAATCAATGCCCAGAATAATAACATTTGGCTTGGATTCCTCATCTGGACGACCGCCTCCTAGATTGTCAGTTTTATTATCCAAACGATCCTGCACAAACAGGAAGGCATTCTCTTGAAGGAGTTCCAATTCTTTCTTAGCATTTACGGCAAAGCATTGAACGATAATAAAGTCAATGTCCTTCGGTACCAGTAAGGATTTGATTAAGGGCTTAGGACCGGAAAAACTGTTAAGGAGAAAAACATTTTAAAATGTCATATCAAAAACTTTAAATCCTTGTTTTTAGCCCACCTAAAGTCATTATCCGGAATAAAAGCGCTTTTGTTTCGACCTATCACATGGTATTCACACTTAATTGTCGCATTGCCAACATTTTTCAAAAGCTTGTCAGCAGTGTTCTCATCTATATGGATCCTGTATTGTCTTAGTTTCGGATCGAACTGACTGATTACCAAATCATTATCGGTGCTACACTCCTTAAACTCCTTGCGCTTAAAGAACTGCATTATGTCTTCCGAAAAGGGATCCATTTTGGGCATCTTGCACGACGGACTGTCCACGTAAAATTCTCCATCTTTTTTAATAAGTTTTTCAATGTTTGGGTAACGGGAGTGCAAGCTTAATTTGGTCAAGCATACAAAAAAAAGAAGAGCACACAGTAAAAATACATTACTCCGCAGACCCATAATGGTGACTGAATTATCATTAGATAAGGTTTTCATGGCTGGCACTAATTTTGTTGAGAAATTCGATCCTCTATTTAACAGTTTAATAGGTTTATACATAGTTAAAAAAGGTTTTTAAAAATGTTAAATATAGTGCTCAACCCCTTCACTGCCAGGACTTAAAAGTTTGTCACATTATATTTTATACATTTTTGGGTATGCTGAAATATGACCAGACCGTCGCATAGCTCAACCTATTAAAATAATGTTTTAAATTATATAAAAACCTTAAACCTCTTTGTGGACAATCGTAATAATTTTCAAAAATTCGTTTTCAATTACTTAGCTATTCTGCCAACTTTTCTTACTTTCAAAGGCAGCATGGCCTTACCATTAGTTTCGTCTTCATTTAAGTGTGTTTTTCTCCACTTTTCAAATTCATATTTATGCGAGTTTGAGAGAGTGCACAAACACACAAATCATGCTGACTATCTGGAACTGCGGGCTATATCTTCCTGGCCGTGTTTATAGCGTTATGGCGTGAGACACTGGGTGAGACATGGGCAATTATGTAAATATGCGGCGGCGCCTGCCAGCGGCGAAGGACGAAGGACGCGGGACACAATGGGACAACCGCAAATTATTGCCGGCCATTTGGCGAATGAATGCGTGACAAAACACAGAGCACACAGTATACAGTACACAGCACAGAGGACAGAGGACACTCCTTGGATGGGACACGGGGAGTATTCACAGGAGACAATCGCGCACAAGGACAATGGCGGGCGCAGCGGGAGTGGCAGCGAGGTCAAAGGTCAGCCGCGCTAATGTTGTGCTAATTGCTAATTGCGATTGGAACGCGGTGAAAACAGAGACATGGACAAAGGAGCTGCTGAGGCGGCGCTCTGTCCTAATTGAAGTGTCCTTGTCGCGATGATATACTGCCGGCGATTGGGAAGGAGGTAGCTACTCGGATTGACAAAGGTGCATCTACACTCAACACTCTGGATTTGTTAAATTTTGAAAAATGTTACTCTCATAAAAATGTGTATACATTAAGACACCTAATGTTTATCCGAGTTGTGACTAACTAAATTTATTCATTAGTACATGTTTAATAAATAATAAACTGAAATTGAGAAAAAAAATAATAAAAAAACCTAGGAAGTCATATTTGTTATCGGTTTCCCTCAAATTATTTTCCTAAAATTTAGATTGACCCTTGCTACCTGCAATTCTCTGAGTGTAGCCCCTTAGCCATTCGCCTTTCATTGCCATCGAAAGCGACGGCGACATTAAGGATGACGACGGCAGCATCCGAATGGACCACCCAGAGAGCCAAACAAACTGCTGCTCTTCCATATCCTGGCAGGAGGTCCTTGGCCCCCAAAAAACCCTTCACCTCCGCTGGCTTTTTGTTTGGTAATTCGATCTGGCGCACGCGTGGCCAGCTCAAGACTTTAGGATCAGGAACCCAAAGATCCCCAAATGGATCACTCTCTGATCTTTTTCGGCAGTCGCCAGCAGTTTGAGTTGTGTGTCAGATGAAAAGGATCGGGGCCAGAGGCAAACTCACCAGTCAGGTGAGGCCAGGTGTCAAACGTGTAACTGGATATAGTATGCATATACACTGGCAACCTCCTCTGGATCAGGTCATCTTTAATTTTGGCATATGCAAAGTGGACCACCAAATTGACTGGATCGACCGTCTGCTGTTTTGGGTCACTGCTGGAATATACGCTTTAAAATTAATGGGGTATGAGGATTTGCTTAGCGGATTTGGTTTAAAGGCTGGTTTAGGAAACAATTCAAACCCTAATTATTAAGAATGCAAAATAAGGTATAAATCTTATCCCTATGGGCAAGATGCATATCTGCAATAGTATTTTTCATCAAAAACGTGACAAATGCTTATTTCATGTAAAGACATATCCTTGATTCCTAATAAAACTGTACAATATCTTAAAAAGAATAATATGTATTTAAAATAAGCCCTATATGTTTAAAAAAAAAAAAATTTTGTATATTTGAAAATGTCTTTATGAAAAACAAAGTCAATATTTTTTAAAACAATAAAATGCCAAAAAATAAATATCGCATTTTTTAAACTTTTTGTACTTCTCAGTCATAGAGAGTATGCATCCATCATTATATTAATGCTAAGCTTATTCATAATGTTCCCCCCAATCCCCTACACTTTTTTTTGTTGGGGCATTTAAAATGTGTCTTTGCCTTAAGCGCAGCTCTCGCCTGTTTCACGTTTTTTTCAGCTGGCCACCCGAGTTGATTGAAATTTCGGCAATGACCCCTGCAGCAGCCGACAATTGTGGCCAAAAGTGCAGCAGCAGAAGTGGCAGCAAAAGTGGCAGCCAAGGCAGCTGGAAGCAGCAGACTGGAAGCAGCTGCCGCCCGGGGCAACTTTAACGTGGACATTAACGTTAACAGCGACCTTAACTTTAGTGGCCAGTGGGCCAGGTCGACGAAGCGTTAAAACGCACACGTTGACAGCTTTTTTCTTTTGTTTTTTGTATGTTTTTTTTTTGGGCTTGTCTTTCTTTATGGGCTTCATGGGTTAACTGAAGCGTCGGCAGTTGCAATTTGCAGTTTGCATTCTGCTGTTGCTTAATGTGCGATTTCTATCTGCAAATATAAATTGTAATTATTGCATTGTTGCGTCGGAGTTGCGGCAAGTTCTTATCATCGCCAGCCATCGTCAGGCGACTGAAAAAGGCAAAAAATTAACAAAAAATTGCAAATGAGTGTCGAAAAGTACGCTGTACACCCCCCGCACCTGAGTTCACCTGGCATTGTTTTTCCCTTGCCACCGGCAGACAAAGCGAAACAAATTGCCCAACTTCAGTTGCCGTTTCTGCTGCTGCTTTTCGCGCTTTAACACTTTTTTGAATGGGCCGCCGCCGCGGTGGGGTTTATAAAATTGATGATGGACCTCTGAGTTATTGCCTCGACTTGGTGACGACAGCTGCCGCTGAAAAATAAAAAGGGAATGTGACGGGGTGGGATAAGCTGGAGGGCCACCCAGGAAAATGATTTAAGAAAACACATTTTAATTACGGCGCTCGAGGAGTGATGAAAACTGCCCGCAGAGCGCAGGAGGCTGGAGGAAAAACAAAACGCGTTAATCAATAAATTGCCGCTCGGTGCAGCGATTTTCCTCCCATTGAAATGCATCCAACGGTGCGTATGAAATTGAAAATCAAGCAACACAGCAGCATAGGAACCACCAGAATCGAAACCACTTGGTGTGGAGCTTGGAACTCGTGGACCAAAAGGGACCACACGAATGGCGCCCCCATATGGAGAGACCCTTCCTCCAGAATTCAGATAAGTTGGAGGGCAGTGCTTTGATTTATCACTCACTGAGCATTTTGGAGTCGAGCCGATCTGTCTGCCCCTCTCGGCCAAAGCATCGTTCACTTGTTTACCACAGGTTATTACACGGAAAATTAATTAATATTTGTAGATTTCATTCTTTTTTTTAATTCCCCTTTAATTTTTGAACTAAATATGTAAAAAGTTCATAACTTATTTAATCTAATATGTTCGTTCAACTTCAATTATTTTAAACTGAAACTTATCTTTCTATTTAGTTATTATGTTGTATTAGTAAGATAACATAATTTAAATATAAGATTCGATTATATATTTCCTGTAAAATATTTCTGTTTTTGGATTAGAATTTACAACCAATAAAAACTAGAACTTGATTTAATTTTTTTTGTATTATAACCACAGCTGTTATTTTGCTGAATTACAATTTAGTATGATTACTTTTTAATTAAATAGAATTTTTTCCACTGTGTACTAACTGCGGCTTTGATTGATGCCCCCACACATGCACCAGGGGGAAAAAAAGAGACCCACACATGGCCACACCCAGAGACCCAGACGCCGGCCTTCGCGATCACCTTCGCCATTGCCTTGGACTTGGATTTTGTATTGGCTTTGGTTTTGGTATCTCTTTTGGCCTTTGCCACGGTCATGGCCTGTTAATTGAAATATGTTTTGGCCAGAGAGATCAAAGGGATCGAAAGTGGCGTTCGGGCAATGATGATGATTTGATTAATTCGACTGGGAGTGGGAATGGGAATGGGTTGACTTGGATGCAGCCAAGATAATGCAGTGATGATGGGTTCGATTCGGAACTAATTAAAACATTTTAAATAAAACACAAACGAAACTCTCTGACAGGAGAGCAACTTTTTTGTATGTGTCCGACTGTCTGGGCTGGAAATACGTGGAAAATAAAACATTAAACAATCATAAAAATAAACACATTTTCCCACACTGTTGTTGTGTTTGTTGTTGTTGGGGCAGCAGCAACAGCAGTTACAACAAATAATAATAAAAACGAGAAGCAGTCGAGAAACTTTTGTACTACATGGAAATGTCATTCGCATAACAACAAAAGACAACGATGGTGATGATGATGATGATGATGATGATGGCAACAACAGCCAACGACAACCAACAACGAAACAACGCACAAAGTTTCAATTCTCCCACCCCCCTTGTCTCTTAACCCCTTGGTGCCCCAGTTTGCGGCAAAGTTGGTGGCACCTTTGTGGGGCCTGCTGAGATAACAGCCAACAAAATGTTTGATGTACTCGAAAGTTAATGTTTTGTGGTGTCAACTTTTGCCGGGCTTCATGGCTGGGTTTTTGGGTTTGGTTTTTTGGTCTTTTGGTTTGGGGGTTTTGCAATGGAGAGCGGCTTTTAATGGTCGGGGATTTTCACTAATTTGCCTCGACGAAATTAGCCTTTATTTTTTGGCTCTTTGGCTAATCGCAAGTGCTGAAGTTTTCGTGGCAAAGTTTGACCTTTCACACGCTCTCAGATTGCCTTCACCCATCACCTCCATCAACCTCCAAACTACAACCCTCCTTACACACTTTTGCTTTCAAAGAATTACAACAAAATTAACAAGAGCGTTCGTTATCAAAAGAACTTTTAGCCGCCTCATTTGTTGGGGCCTTCAAACTCAAAAAGACTGAAACTGAAAA